CCCACTTTTCAATCCTTTTTCCTCGCACCATCCCCAAATGTCCGACAGGTACAATCCCAGCTTCATGATTTCTTCCTCTCTCGATTGATTGATTGATTCTTCAATTGAATTTGTTCTTCTTTGTGTGTAGGATACTTTGCAAGTTCTTTGTCCATGGCTCGTGCTTGAAAGGGGAAAATTGTGAATATTCCCATGACTGTAAGGAATCAGCGAATAATGTAATGTAATCTCTTCTCAAGAATCTAAATCTTTTCTTCTTTTGTAAAATTTCATTCATGTTGGCTTTTTTTTTTTTGTCTGAAAATCAAAACTTGTTTGTTTGTTTGTAATAATCAATATATAGGTTTGCACATTCTATCAGAAAGGATTATGTTTGTACGGAAGTAGATGTAGATATGAACATGAAAGAGCTTCCGATGTTCCTCTACCATCATCTCTTAGCTCAGATTCTCAGCCACAATCTTTAACCACTGCATATAGCTCCCTCTTCACGAACCCTCAACAAAAAGGAGATGTTCTTACAGGGGAGAATCATGATGGTGATAAATCCACTACTAATGTTTATTACATCCACCCAAGAGAATACCCGATTTGCTCTTTCGCTGCAGCTGGTGATTGTCCTCGAGGAAACCAGTGTCCACATATGCATGGGGACATCTGCACAACTTGTGGTAAGAAGTGTTTGCATCCTTTTAGACCCGAAGAACGAGAAGAGCATACCAAAGAGTGCGAGAAGAAGCAAAAACACATCGAAGCTTTGAAGAAAAGCCAAGATATTGAGTGTAGCGTGTGTTTGGATCGCGTGTTGTCAAAGGCCACTCCAGGGGAAAGGAAGTTTGGGCTGTTGACGGAGTGTGATCATCCGTTCTGTATACAATGCATTCGTAATTGGCGTAGCAGCGCTCCTGTTTCGGGAATGGATGTGAACAGCACGTTGAGAGCTTGTCCTATATGTCGCAAACTCTCGTATTTTGTTGTCCCGAGTGTTGTCTGGTACTCTACTCATGATGAGAAGAAGGAAATTATCGACATTTACAAGGCAAAACTCAGGTATAGATAACCCCAAAAAAAAAACTTGAACTTGAGCTGTCTTTCAAATTGATATAACTTGTGTTCTATTCCAACAATCTTGCAGATCAATCGACTGTAAGCACTTCAACTTTGGAAATGGAAACTGCCCGTTTGGAGGAAGCTGTTTCTACAAGGTATAAAATGATGTGTTTTCTTCTACTCTTTATCGCCTACCAAAGCGTAAGACGAATGATTTAGTCAAATGGTTTTTGTTCTTGCTATATAGCATGCATATTCTGATGGTCACTTGGAAGAAGTTGTTCTACGGCATCTTGGTTCTCAAGAAGGAGAAACCGTAATAGCAGACAGTATCAGGTCTTGTTTCTAGCTTCCTCTTATCCCAAATTTGTTCAACTTTTTTTCGACTTATCGTGCAATGTGTTAATAACTTTTCAGGCTATCAGAGTTCCTTGGTGGCTTGCAGATTTAAAATATACTTCACCAGATAAATAAAATGTAAGTAAGCTCCAAACCCATTTGTAATTATCAAAATGTTGTAGACTTTATTGTTTCTGTTTTATGACTGAATTGTCTTTCCAAACACAGAACACAGATAATGATGACAACAACTTATTTTCTTTCCAAACTCATTTGATTCAGAGTTTTGGCAATCCTTTGAAATTAGGTGAAGCAGTTTCTTCTTCTTCCTTTATCTTTCAGATTATCTTACTACATTTGTTTTTCCTGTTGGTTGATTCAAGCTATATCTTGTGGATTCTAGAAATGGAGACATGCTCAGAGGAGGGATATATAATAATAGTTGAAAAGATATTATTAGGACAGAAGAAACTCATTGTAATAATATTTAGATAGGGAATGTCTACTAGACAATTATGTACAAAAATAAGGAAAATTGTTTGAACAATACGTCCTACCATTCCCTGGTTTGTATTATACCAACAAATAATGTAAATAAATGGCTTCCATATAACACTCTTGTGAAAGATTTTTGAGATGTTTTCTTTTATTGAGATTTTAGTCAACAAGAAGTAAAACACACAAAAACAAGAAAACTATTGAAAAAAAAAAGAGCCGTGTTTTTCTACCATCTGAGAATGGCAAATCCAGAAACGATGAGGGAAGAGATGATCATGACTATAGACATTCCTGGAAAACATGAGGCTCCTCCTGTATTTGGCTCTGAATCGTACTGTGCCAAGGCGGTGAAGACAGAGGAGAACGTCATTGTAGCGAAAACAGCCATCGACGTGTAATGATTGTAGAAGGCCATGTTTACTAAACTTGACCTCTGCAAAACAAACTCTGGTCCTTGGTTTGGCTCTACCAATGTTGTTTTATAGGGAAATAAAAAGTTCGTGCGGGACGTGAGGAGCACAAGGTTTGGTTTCATAATGATTCATTTCATTGAACCCACTTTCAATTGTTACTTTGTTCTTTTGTTTTTTGTTGGTCAACAATCGTTATTTAATATAAAGCTATAGCCTATAGAACAAAACCCACCTAACCATTTTGTGATATGTAATCTAATGGAGGAGCATAGAGGGAATCCATTAAAAACCTACGGAATTATTGTATGATTCTTCTTTTGAAAATGTTTTTGGACTTCTTGAAATAAGGGAGTTTGGTGAAAAAATTTAGTGCAATTAAAGAAAGCCCAATAGGAAGCATAAACCCAATAAGAGTTTCTAGGCCCATGAGTCGATACTGTGTCTTCTCTTCCCAACTCCTAATCACATATACACCATCATCAATTTCAATA